TGTGGTGACTTGAACTCCTCTACTTTTTGTACAAAGTTCTAAGTTGAAACTTGGTCAGTCAGTCACATAATTCCTCTAGTATTCAACAGAACAAGACTGAAGCAACAATTTACCTTTCATGATAAATATTTTAGATTGATTGCATCAAAATAAACATGGCACTACATCAGGATTCAGTGTGAAATAACTTAATTTCTTTAACAGAAAATCTAAATTCCACTTGAATAAGAGCAATCAAATATTTTCGAGTTTTATTTTTTGTAGGGATTTCATTTGGCTCAGATTTGATCACGCAATATGTCACTTAGAGAACCATTGAAAACCAGGGAGTACTGGACAGCTGTAGTGACCAGTGGGGTCCACCTGGTCGGCAGTGAGGACAAATACTCATCAGTGACACTGGCTGGTGCTAGTCACGCTAAAATCATCAAAGTGGTAGAAGTTAGAATTCATGGGCCACTGAGTTGAGTATCAGTGGCTAAATGATCTACGAGCTTGCCTTGTAACCTGGAGGTCCTGGGTTCGCCACCCAGTGGGTGCGTACTGCCATTGAGTCCCAAACCTGGACAAAACAGCTCTCCGATACTCCCTGTTGGTTTTTGATGGTTCTCAAACTGAAATCGATCTGTGACTAAACCTGAAAGAAATCAAAAATTTTGAAGGTGACTAATAACTGACTGCGTCGGTGGCATAGCGGTTAGGACGCTCGCCGACCATGCACATGGTCCGGGGTTCGATCCCCGGCCGACGCACTCCTTTACCTCACTAAGCCAGAAATAATGCTGGTGAAGAGGAAAGGTTGGGCATGAGGCTAGCAACCCATCCTGTAAAATCAACACTACTACAGAAACTTCAAGCCACTAGCTTGAAGTCTTATGTTCCACTGGGGAACGTGAAGGCAAAAAAAATAACTGACTATTTATCTTTATTACCAGAATAAAGCCATGCTACATGAAACGATGCTCGGGCGCAGTAGCATCCTATACTACCGGAACAACTAAAATCCATATAGAATTCAAAACTTATCATAACCAAATAAGTGCACACCAGCTGAAATGCATTAGTTACCCTGATTTGACGTTGTAGTTTACTAAATATATACGTATACGGTACTATATATACTACTGATTAACTTACGCGAGTGATTTGACACCATTTACGTCAACCAGTACTGCTTACTAACTAAATCAAAGTGACCTAAAAATCAGTGTGCGTCGATGGTACAGCAGTGGCCGGGGGTTCGATCCCCGGTCGGCGCATTCCTCTACCCCACTAAACCAGTATTAAAGCTGGTAAAGAGGAAAGGTTGGAAATGAGGCTAGCAAACCCATCCTGTAAAAATAAGCACTAATGCTAACGAAACTTCAAGTGTTTAGCTTAAAGCCCTATGTTCCACTGGGAACGTAAAGGAATAAAAAAAGAAAGAAATACCAGTGGCTGTTTCGCTCCTATGGGACTAATCAATAGTATGCGCTATTTGCCTCATCTCAAAAGGACAAAACAATTAAAACTACCCGAGTGATATTCAAATACTCATATCAATCAGTTTATCAATGATATATCACATCATTTATTTATGCCCGCTTTATTGACTGCCATGTATAGTGTGAAGCAAATGCCATATTGGGGTAAGAATAGTTACGGCTGTTTAAAGGAAACTATCGGGAAATTTCACCTCTGGCTGTATAAATTGCAAATCGCGAACATTTTTTATTTCCTTCACGTTCCCCAGTGGAACATAGGGCTTCAAGCTAGTGGCTTGAAATTTCTGTAGCAGTGTTCAATTTTTACAGGATGGGGTTGCTAGCCTCATGCCCAACCTTTCCTCTTCACCAGAATTATTTCTGGCTTAGCGAGGTAAAGGAGTGCGTCAGCTGGGGATCGAACCCCGGACCATGTGCATGGTTGGCGAGCGTCCTAACCACTATGCCACCGACGCACAAATCGCGAACTAACCACATTTAAAAATTGATTGTTTGGAAGAGAACCGAAAAACTGTTTTCACTTAAATACAGTCATATTTGATCGATGTAATGGAGGCGTAACACACTGGCTAAAGCGGCTAATCTGAAACCATCCAACAGATTCCGGATATAAATCCTGTCCCGTCTACTTTAGGATAGACAGGTGGATAGTATCATCAGCTCACAGTCTGATACATGAAAAGTATGTTCCGGGCAACTGAATTCTAACTAGCCAAAACCAAAACGATTGATATACATTGCATAGCAGGCACAAACTCTCGGTTTTCGTGGTACTCTAGACAGCTAATCATCTATAACTGTCCTTGAAACATCATTTCATTCACTCATTGATGAACTTTCCCCAATTGACCACAAATAAATTACTTCAATATTTTAGATATAATTCTTCACAATATCATAAGTAAGTATTACTATGTAGTGCACCGGTGGTCAGTGGTGAGAATAATCATTAGCCATGAGGGTGGGCCACCTTCGGTTGTCGGATGACAAACTATTTAACTTCGGCAAACCCATAGTAGGCCAGGAAAAGAAATAAGGGAGGATATAAACACCATCCTATAACGTAGCAGCACTATTATTATTCAGACTTCAAGAACTAAAAGCCCTGTGTTCTACCCTCAGCCCATGGAATGAAAGATAAAACTACAGTATGATACTGAGCTCGTCTGGCATATGCCGACTTATGCCATCTCTAGCGTAGACGTGATATCTGGAAGACTGTCAACCCAAGGACATGTAAACTACTCAGCACTTCGCTCCGCCCTCCTTAATGGTTGGCTGGCTGTAAGACATGACCATCCAAAGTGGAAGATACGAAAAGGCTAGCTAACTGTCTTTGATCATAGGTATCTGCGTTCTATCTCCCGTGTTAAGTGGTGGTATAATAAAGTGAGCGATAATGAGGTTAAGCTTCGGTCGAGTAGTAGGTACTGAGGAGAAAGCGATCGACGGGGTGCTTGTGAAGTTACACCGATTGAGTGAGATGGTTAGGGAACATGTGTTACGCAATGGGTAGTATTAGCTGACTGACATAGGATCGATCAGGTTGGAAAACAGCTAGCAGGTGGTGGTCAAACCAAAACATGGTTTCATCAGTCAGTGAAATCCATAACAGTTAGTTTAAACCAGCCACGTCGGGAGGTATAGACTGGTAGTATGTTTGGGGTCCACGTGATGGTAAGAACAAATGAAGGCTGGAGATAATTGGTGATATGGCTCAAGTTGCTCGTTGTCAATGGCTGGTGAAGATGCATTCACTCTTTGTAATTTATCGTATCCAATAAAATTCTATTGTTCTTCCATATTACTATTCTTTTTGCGTCATATTTCTGTTTATTATCTCTCTCTCTCTCTGTTTTGAATCTCTCCTTACTGTCTTCTCTTGTGTTGTGTACTACACATGTACGGAGATTGGCAACGGGAATTGTTGTGCATCTGTGGAAAGTTTTACGTTGAGACCAGTCAGTCAGTCAGTTACAGTATGAGACTAAGATGAAACATATTAATTGTCCTATAACACAAAATATAACCTAACCCTTTAAAGGAATCATTGTAAATATTTCATAAAAGCTACCACAGAATAAACTGATAACTGAAGACAAGTAATCATAAATACGCGATACTATATTCTTCAGTTCATACAGTATGAATCCAGACAAGAAATTAAAAATTCGGACAGATTCTAATAATTTAATAATTCCCATTGTAGCATTAAGAACACAATAGGATAAGGAAAATTTGTATTTCTGATTCCGTTGACTCGGAACTTGACTTCTTAAAAGCCACTCTGGCAGAAAACGGTTACCCTAACCGATTTATTGACAGCAACATGAAAGATAAGCAGTCTAAACTGGTCACCGACACAGTTCCAAAGAAAACCTTATTCATGAACTTGGAATTCAAAGGTGATCAAGCCTCAGATATGCCCAAAAATCGTCTCTCCAAATCAGTCAGTAAGACGTTCTATGCAGCAAAATTACATATGACGTTCACTAGCCGCAAGTTGTTCTCTACCTCTGTAAAAGATAAGCTCACCCGTCTGGCCGCCTCCATGTGCATCTATCACTTCACCTGCTCTTGTGGAGCAAGGTACATTGGCCATAGTCAGAGAACGCTTTCCACACGGATACGAGAACATATTCCAGCAAAGTTTTACAAGGGAGAAAGGAAGTGTGTGAGAAGCTCTATTTTGGAACACCTGATCGACTTCTGTCACTCTATCAACCCTGACCATGATTTTAAGATCATATATAGAATCCATGCTAACTTCCCGCGTTTTATTCGTTACAGACTTCTTAAGACAGCTGAGGCCTTGGCAATTCATGACTTTAACCCAGACCTTTGTGTTCAAAAGAAGTATGTACAATCCCTACTTCTACCTTGGCCGTAGAGGGATAAACATTCGTTTATTTTGTTTATTTAGTTATTCTATGTACTTCTCCCTTATTACTACGATTATTATTATTACGATTATTATTATTACTATTCTCACTCTGAATCTTTTCCACTTGACCCACTTGACATTTTAAACCTAAAATTATTAATTTTTATTTTTACAATATTGAATTCTGTCTTATCAAATTTCACACCGTGTTATGTAACATTTTATATTCGTCTATTAATCTTATAATTATGTACCCCTTTCCAAAATTCTATACACCTTATGTATTATTCTATATACGACATTAATTATTTTTCCACTTGACATTAAACTATGGTTGAATGGTATATGAGCTTGCCTTGTAACCGGAAGATCCTGGGTTCGTATCCCAGTGGGTGCGTACTGCCGATAATTCCCAAACAAATATTTTAATTGCATTTCATACTATTATTATTTCATGTATTCACACCTTTGACCTAATTCCCTCACCGGATATAATTTTTTAAAAACAACCCATGTACATACGATTGTACAGCTTGATAATAAATTCGTTGAAAAGAGTCTCTTCGCTGAATATTAGATTCTAATAATTCTATCAGAAAAAAATAATTAATACAATTATATTTATTCTTAAATATATTTATTTATTTATTTATTCAATAACTTTATAAGATGAATGACAGATCATATTAAAATGAAAGGAAAAAATTCGCTAAATAAACCGAATGATTATCTTTTTTTAATGAATAAAACATGAAAACGTTGAACATTGAATCATTGAACAATATACTACTGATTTGAATGCATTAAAACAACAAAAATGGCGAGATTTTTTTGAAAAAAGCCTAACCGTATCCATATGTCATCAAGATATCAGAATCAATAAAATTCATAAAGAATGAAACAAATAAAATTGAAGTGTATACAGAGTATTTTAACGTTTTTCATAAATAATAGATGACTAGTTAGAATAAAATAAAAGTTTCAAACAACATAAGTGAGAGCTGAGTATTTCTGTAGTTCTCATTTACGATAATAATAATCTTCTTCTGCTTCTTCTTGTTCTTCTTTACTAAGATAATGTGATTGTGGTATTGTGGACGATAAAACAGCATTTCTAACAAGAGATGTACCTTGAGCTTTAATACCAACAATATTATCAGCCATACAGACATATTCACCTTCATAGTCTAGACTGAAATTAACTATTTGCAGATAAGAGATTGTATGCGTCTCTTCAGTTCCACCACGAACACTGACTGTAACATCTTTGTAATTACCTAAAAACAGTATATACATAGATGTATATTATTATCATTATCAAAACCAGGATTTGGTGCATTATGAGCATAAGAATATGCTCAAATACTCAACTATACTAGCAATAATCCAATTAATCACAAACGAAACTGTTTACAGACATTGTTTAAAAGAGTTCAAACACACTATAGCACTACTCCAGAGTTGAAAAGAATGGAGGAAAAATACCTACTAAACGTCTGCAAAAAGAATGGAGATCCCCACTATTTCATCAAAAAGTGTTTAAAGTCGAATCAAAACACCAACAAAGAACCATCATCAAAGAACACATGAAAATTCATCCTACCATACATGAGGAATATCTCTGAAATAACAGCTAGAATACGGATACCGTTAGATATAGATATAGCACACAAACCAGTCAAATCACTTAATTCGATATTCTGCAAACCAAAAGATCCAACAGAAAAAGGGGATAAAATTAATACCATTTACAAAATAAATTGTATAAACTACAACAAGCATTACATCGGCCAAAGTGGGCGTCCCCTTCGAATTAGAATTCAAGAACACAAATCAGCCATGAAAATACACGATATATATTCTTTAGTATCAATGCATATAGACAATTATGGACATCATTTTGATTGGGATAATGTCAAAATCTTAGACAGAGGAAACCCCAAAAGTGCCAGGGAATTCCTAGAAGTCTGGTACTCAAACGAAAATGAAATTAACAAACACGTCAATATAGACAAAATATACCAACTAATAAAAAGTAAATCAGGTGACCAGAAAGCTTAAAATCCAATTCAATAGAAAATGGTCAATACATATGTAAAGATGGTTACCAGGAGACGCAATTATATCACTTATGAAGAAATTTAAATCATTTCACTTTATGCTAAATATTGCGCTGAAGGGGGATGTTGTCCAGAAGGACGAAGAAAGCTCCACAACTAGACCAACCAGCTCAGAAAACACTATTAATTGCATAAGAATATGCGCCACACAAAATCTCAAAGTTTATGTGAGAGTTTGGATGTTACTCAGGTGTCCAAATCGAAGCAGATGGTTGTCTTAGGAGGTCACTCTCCGTGCCTTTGAAAATCAGCCAAAATGCCGTGGATTTACTTACTCACTGCGGTGTTGTATGCCATGAAACTCTTAACTAATGTTCATCTAAACATACACCTCTGTTTAATTCAATTTTAGATTTTCCCATCGATTGATTGGACTGAAGTGCTCGGTCTCAGGTTGACATGTTGGCTTCTTTTTGTACAGATGCTTCAACAATGTCTGGTATTGTAATTAGAAGTTAATTGGAGGATGGCGACTAGCAGTGGAATCCAAGATAACGGATATTTCGTCCTATTTGGGACTAGTCAGATGGATGTGCCTGCTTCCGCAGTGAGTGGCGATGTTCCCACTGAGGCTCGAACCCAGTGCCCATAGTTTCAAACGGGAAAATCTAAAATTGAATTAAATAATTAATGTGACCCATGCACAAGAGGTGGCTCTTTTGGCCCAAGTGGTCTAGTGGATAACGCTTTGGCGTTCAAAACTATGCGTACTGAGTTTGAGCCTCGGTGATGGGAAAATCATCACTTACTGCGGAATGCAGGTACATCCAATTGACGAGTCCCAAATAGGACGAAATGCGCGTTATCCTGGATTCCACTGCTAGTCACCATCCACCATTTAACTTCTAAATACATCTCTGTTCATTGTAGTTTCACTGCATTCCTTTTCCCTACTTTTATGTATGCTACACGGAAGTATAACAACTTGATGGAATGAACTTTTGTGCACCGTTCACTTTATCCCTTCAGCGCTGTAGACAAACTATGCTATATGAGAAAAGATGTTTAAATTATTCAGCAACTTGAACACTAATCAAAAAGGTTTTTTTCAAGTAAATCATGCGAAAAAGCATAAAAATGAAAATAAAAACAAAACAGTCATCTAATTACTTACCTGGCATTTGAATTTTATCCTGTTTTTGATTTGGTTTATTAAAATACCAAGAAATCGTTGGTATTGGATAACCACGAGCTTCACATATCAGTGTGACATTTGTACCTTCTGTAACTGTTTGATTCAATGCTGTCAACTTAACCATGGGTACTTCAGATAGAACAGGATAAGAAGAAAAGAAAAATATGAAGAAATACTAGTTTGTAACGAAATTATGTGGAAAACATGTGCAAATCAAGTGTAATAACAATTAAGGAGAGGTGGAAGTGTGGTGAGAGCTGTCTACTAGCCAAATTGGTAGACAGTAATTTACGTCAATGTTTATGTCCCCAAATATTGGTCACGAGAAAAGAACAAGAACAAAGACTGACTCAACCAACAACCAATCACAGAAGACTGTTTGCGTAGGCGGATACAATTAGCAGATAGACAGATGGTCTGACCTTCAAGAAACAGCTACAAAGAGATGAAAGATTAACTTTAAGTGAGAAACAACCAATCAGAAGACTCTGTTTGTTTGCTTAACAAAACCATAATAATGTGCATGAAAATATATAAATATGCTTTGATTTCCTTAATAAACGATCTGTTGCCTGGCCCTTGTCTTCTGTTGTTACAGAAGTAGCCTATCTTTCAATGAACTGAAATGGACCATGAAACAGATACAGATCCCAGAAAGTTGTATCACCTTGAGGTAATTTGGTGGATAGTGACTCTGGATGGAATCCAAGATGCGTTCTTTGACCTATATAGGACTCATCAACTGGACGTACCTGCATTCCCCAGTCAGTATCCGCTAAATTACTTCGAGTTAATCCTCACACTTAGTCGAAGCGTCCTCTTATGAAAGAGAGTTACTTATTTTGTAGTTACTGTCTGATTCGACTAGAATGAGCCTCCTGACACGACACTATTAGCAACTAACCACTTGAAATTACGCCCCCCTCCCACACACACACACACTGAGATAGACTCAAAGTCAGGTTATCATGTCAGTACATGCATAAATCATGACTTCAAGGGTAACAAGGACGGGTTGTCCATCCTAACACGTCCTCACTAGGAGCCAACATGTTGACAGGGGTTGAACATTTCGGTAGAATCAATCAATATTTTTTCCTTTACGTTCCTAGTGGAACATAGGGCTTCAAGCTGGAGGCTTACGTGAATGAAATCCTCTTCTAAGAAGTTCGACATTGTCGAAATCAATCTTATGTCCGGCTGTCTATCGCATGCATTTCTATAGCTGATCTTCTCTCTAGACTTTTTAATTCTACTTCATTTCTAGGTGGATGTTTCGTGCATAGTCTATGTTCATTCACTCTAACCTTCACCTGTCTACCGCTCTCCCCTATATAGCATGCTTCACATTCTGAAGACTTTATCCTATAGACACAATTATTTTGTGACATTTTGGGAAACATATCTTTGACATTCACCAAAGCTTTCTCTAGAGAATTAAAGGGCTTGAAATAGACTTTAAAATTATATGAAGCAAGCAATCTTTGAAGTTGTTCAGCTCCCTCTTTTCAATATGGAATGGCTTACGCAGCGAAACGTTCGGACAAATCTTGTTTTAATTTTTTCTTAAACACGCTGAGACCATTTTAAATAATTTGTAATGAATCAATCTGACTCAGCGCTCAAATTATTCCAGGGAATTTGTAAAATCCACATTCTGGAAACTTATTTATTGATTGTCGTGGTTGCCTCTGCTTTGAACTTAACTTTTTGATATGACACATTAAAGAAATTTCACCAGCGTCTTTTCATTTTGCGCTGTGTAGTTATCTTGGGAAATTGCAACATTTGAGAACAGTGAGAAATGTTGAGAAACAGTAAGATTTAAGTGTACTCCACATAAGTCAGATCAAGTGTGCACCAAGTGATGAACCATACGTAGTCACAGCTTTTTTTGCCTTAATATTTGCTAAAATTGTCATTTTTATTTCTATTTTTCAGTGCTTTGAACTAGTTAATTTTAATTTTTTCCCTTTTCTTATTTCTTTCCATATCAATAAGTAATGTCTTCCTATTCATCGTTCCTCTAAGAACTAATAGTTTTTCGTGCCCACGGACACCTGCCTATCAGTGTGACTATTTTATATTAGACCACCTAGTTCAAAAAGACTATAAAGGTAGTACTGAAGAATCATTTTTTTATAATACATATCGGGTGCTAAATAGATTGCTAAAAGCCTCTACGTACCGAGCACTCCAAACGACAGAGGTTACTGTGATTTGCTTAAAACATTTGGAGCTCTGCATTGCTACTTTTGCTTGCTGTGGTACCTATGAATTCATAAATCCCTTATTATTTCTCTCAGTTTATCTAGCATTCATTTGAGTGTTATGTCAATGCATGCAATCATTTATACAAGCTTTACTGATTCGCTGTTATTTAAGAGAATCAATTTAGTGAATAACGCAATATTTCTTTTACTATTCAAGGATACATATAACTCCAGAACCTGATGAAGAAGCTATCGAAAAGACTACTTTATGTTCACTTAACAGTCTTTTGAAATCTACTGATACTCTAAAGAACATTGTATGGTGGACAAAGATCATCCCCTGATAGTGTACACTACTGATCAACTGATCTGATGTTAAACAGTAATGCTCGAAATCCAGTTAGAAGTAATCTAAATGCCCGATGGCCATTTCGTTAGCCTGGGTCCGATCTGGTCATCAGTGTGCCAGGTTGTACTCAGCTCATAGAGATGCATTGTGTTGAGAGCTGTCTGCTAGGCAAAATTGGTAGACAGAAATTCACGTCAATGTTTACGTTCCATATCTTGGTCATGAGAAGAAAAGAACAAGAACAAAGACTAACTCAAAAACCAATGACAGCAGACTTTGCGTAGGCGGATACAATTGGCAGATATATGGTCTGACCATCAACGAAACGGCCAGAAAGGGATGACAGAATAACTTCCAGTGAGAAAAAGACCTGTCAGAAGACGGATTCTGGCTAACTTCTTAGACCTGTGAATGGTGTAGGCAGTTTCCAATTACTTGTCTCTACCAGTCAGTGGCATATACCATCACTTTACAAGTTTACTTCAAATTGAAATATGCGCTGAGGATGTTGTCTAGGAAGACAGTATTACCTTGGCGCCTACACTACCCAGCTCAGAGAACACGACTACACTAAAAATGTCGCACTATGAACAATGTAGTTCGCAAATGACAAGTAACACTGAATATAATAATAAATATTTACTTAAAGTGTACACTGTTTGTTAAGGTTCTTAAATATTTATCATATATTTCGAAAGAAATATTTATCAGTATAAAATTGTATACCACTGATATCAATGAGGAGTGATTGCTAGCCAGATTGAGGTGGTCTAAACACCGACAAAGACGTTTCGCTCATTCAGGGTCCAGCTCATCATCTGTTTACCTACTCAAGCTCAGCTGAGAGAGACAAATCACATAGAACCACCTGAATTCTGGTAAGCAAGCACTATTTTTGATACAAATGGTATACAACTACTCATGACGATCGGTCAGTAGTATATCGTTTTATGCAAAAATGTTTGCTTTCTTGATTACTATTTAACGGTACCAAACAGATCACATACTCTGATCTGAATAATCTGGTCTCGAAAGGAAACCTTGGTGAAAATTTCACCCCTCCCCCTAGGACTGTGTGAATTGCAAATTCAGAATTAATTTGAAATATTTATGCCCTGACATGAATTTAAAACAAGCAGTAAAGGTTGTTAATAAAAATGCAGAATTCTATGAATTTGCCAATTTTCCAGAGAAGTAGTCGACTCAATGCCTACACTGTTATACGTGGTGTAATAAACATAAGTAGGAAGATATGCGACTCATAAATTAACCACAATAAACTGACATCGGTTAGAGAACCACTGGAAGACGTGGGAGTACTCTATAGATGTTTCATCCTGACTTGGCATTCTTCATCTGTACGCATCCACTGGGGCTCGAATCCAGGCCCTTCTTTCCTATTCAGGTAGGTAGTCACCTGTGTTCTGGTGGGAAGTCGTGACCAGTGGTGTACAGCAGGTCGGATTTGAGGGCAAATACTCTCCAATGGCGTTCACTAGTGGTTGCACCTTATAATGAATTGGTAAAACATGGAATTTACAGACCATTAGATTGGGCCTCAATGGCTTAATGGTCTACAAACTGCTCTTCTAACCAGAAGGTCCTGGGTTCGAACACCAGTGGATGTGTACTGCTAAACAGCCCCAAACTAGGACGACAAAAACAGCTGTCCAGTACTCCCAGCTGGTTTTCCAATGTTTCTTTAACCGATGTCAGCTCATGATGAAATCCTGTAACCAACTAATCAAATCCCCCTAAACCACTACTTGAATAACCACAATAAATTGTCTTAGCACAACAAGAGGTGAAAATGTCTCTCAGATCAAGTTCGGTTCGGTAAACAGATAGAAGTGTATGACACATAGGAAGTTTGAAGTGCACTACACTTCAGTTAGGGTACTGTAGCAAACAATTATTTGTCAGAGTGAATTTGGCAATACCGAGAATTTTAAAATTAATAATAGATGAGATAAAATATTAATAATAACAGTTAACAAATTGAAAGATACTATCATATCACTACATACAGACAACCACGGACATCAATTTGACTGGGACAACCAACATTCAAATATTAGACAGAGGAAACACCAAGAATGCTAGGGAATTTTTAGAAGACCACCTGGTATTCCAGTGAATCGTCAATCAATAGACACATCGAGATTGACAAAATTTACCAACATATGAGAAGAAAATCTGACACACAAAGGGTCAAACTTCAAGTCAAGGAAACAATCAACACCAATACCAATACATGTAGCAGCCTAGAGGATGTGAAAACACAAAAACACAACCAAAGAGTGACGTTCAGGGTAGTCACAAGGAGAGATGACTAGTGAACTCGTGGAGAAATCAAAAAGCTTACTTCAAATTGAAATATGCGCTGAAGATGTTGCCTAGTAGGGCAATGAAAGCTTCGCGAATAAACTATCCAGCTCAGAGTAGACAACCACATCAAAAATTATTTGAAGTTCTTGAATGAAAAGTAAATATTACGTACTAAACTACCCTGAGAATTGTGCATACTGTGTAGAAGTACTGAGTATAATAATACTATTGTTATTATT